CCACCCAGGAGTTTAAATTTTGAATGAAAGATAAGATTGAAGGGCACGTGAGAATCATTTCAGGGCAGTGACACTCAGCCATACAGTGGCAGCTTCCCGGTCCCTGGAGCCCGGTGGTACATGCCCATCTCCTAATCTGGGTCTTCAATCTCCAGCTGATTCTGTGGGCATCCCACGTTCTTTCAACAAGTCTCCTTTCCATGTAGGACAATCAATCAGTTTCTGTTGCTTGCAAGCAAGAACACTGAGGACACAGATCTTCTCAGATCCATCCAGAGAGGCTCCAGGGGGCACCTAGGATGTCAGGAGTTGCTAGGGCCATGGAAGGCAGTTGGCTGGAAAGGCACCTGGCACAACTTTGCCTCCGATCCTGCCTCCTGGGATCTGGGTGATGGGTGGTTAATTGAGAGCATTTACAATATCAGCTCCAGGCTGCAGCTGAACAATTTTTCACTTATTTATATGTTTCGTCTGTGTGTGTGTGTGTGTGTGTGTGTGTGTGTATATTTTCTAAGTGTTGTATGTCTTTTCCACTTGGATTGTAAACTCCTCAAGGTTACAGTTTTCTTTCACATCTCTTCTACAGGGTCATAGAATTGCAGACCTGGAAGAGACCACAAGAGATCATGTGATTTAGTGTCTTACCTCACTTGTTGAAAGAACATGGGATGCCTACCAAATGTCTAAACACCCAAGACCAATAGCACTCTGTTCTTTTTAGAGAATGTCCAACAAATGGAGATATTACTGTCCCCAGTCACTCATTCTGTTTCCTGCTTGCTGCAGCCCACTTTCCTGACACAGAAAGCAATGCTCAGTAGCTCCTTCCTGAAAGCACTTCAGAGGGTGATAGAATCACGCCTCAGCCCTCTCTGCTCCGAGTGCCATGGGTGGGAAAAATTAGCTGCCCATGGGGCCGGCAGTTAAAGAGGGTGAGGTGGGAGTGCATGTGCCTACGTTGTGCAAACTGAGGATGGTGGTGGATCAGAAAGCATGCTTGGTGACAGCAGGCGCCTTGCCCCTGTTGACTGTTGCCATGGGTGGAATGTGGGCTGAGTTTTGAAAGATCTTATGAATTTTCCAGAGAAGCTGGAAATCTAGAATTGTAAATGAAATTCCTGACTTTCAAAAATGCTGGCAACTCATTTGATTTAAAAAAAACCCGTGGGCCAAACAAAACACTGCTGTGGGCTGGATGTGGTTTATGGACTATTAGTTTGCAAGCCCTGCTTTAAGCTGCCGGGGACCTGGTCTGCATTCTTTGGTACTTGCCATGAATACTGCCCTTAGAGCTGGGCAACTGGGGTCCCTGCTCTGGAACCCGTGCTTTAGTCGGCCCCACTCTGTGCCTCTGCCTCACAGGACAAGGAGTTTGAGGGCGAAGTGTCATTACCATGTGGAACCCATGCCCCTTCGAGACTACACTCCTGGTACCCTGGACTCTAAAAATCCCTCCCAAACAGCCCTGCTTCCAGGGCCTAAGGAGTCTCTGGGTGGTGCAAATGGTTAATATGCTGGGCTGCTAACCGAAAGGTTGGAGGTTCAACTCCACCCATAGGTGCCTTGGAAGAAAGGCCTGGTGATCTAATTACAAAAAATCAGCCATTGAAAATCCTATGGAGCACAGTTCTGTGACACACATAGGGTCACCATGAGTCAGAATCAACTCAGTGGCAACTGGTCTAGGGCTATGTGGACCTCCATCCTCCCAAGGGTGGACTGTGCAGCTGGCGTGGCCATCTCTAGACCTGAGGGGTGGCAGAGAGATAGCTGTTTGCAGGGTGGGGGCTGTGCCCCATCAATGTACTTGCCTCCCCCTTTGGTATGGGATGGAGAAGCATAGGAACAGAAGGGGCAGGGCTGCAAACCCGGGTCCTGCATTTGTACTCTTGCCCCACTGCTGGGAAATTGCGAGGGGTGGGTGTGCTTGTCACCGCTTTCCATGGGTCAGGTGGTAATAAGAGCTACCACTGATTCACTATTACCCTGGGCCAGGCAGTCTTCTAAACGCACTGCATGTATCACGACATTTAACCCCCATGCCAATCTAGGATTCTTACAAGTATTATCCCTATTTTACAGATGAAGGATCAAGGCATAGTGAAGTGAAGTTGCTCAGAGCTAGTGAGTGGCAGAGCCAGGATTTAAACCAGTCGGTACCAGAGCAGACTCTCCCTGTACCAGTCGCACTGTGGAAACCATTCCTCCCGTCTCTCCCCTCTCCCCCAGTGGGTGGCTGCCCCTGGAGGCAGGGACCCTCCGCCTCCCTCCACTCTGCATGCCCGTGGCTGGTCTCCGCGGGGCGCGACCAGGATTTGTTGGATGCTCTCCGTGACTGCCTCCCAGCTGCCAGGCTTCGCCTAGCCCCAACCCCCGGCCCGTCTGGAGAAGCCATACGAGGGCCTGGCGGTGACGGCGGCGCCTGGCAGCGGGGGATTTGGATGCTCCAGCCGGCGTCTCCCCCTCCCGCCCCACCTCCGGGGGTTTGGCCGAGCAGGGGGAATTTATCTCGAGTCCTCTGACAGCCTAGCTCCCTTCCCGGCATGCCCTGCTCGCAGGGCGCCGCCCGGAGTCCCGCGCCCGGACTTTGCCATCAGCCGGGGGGGCCCGGCGCGGGAGCGCGACCCGGGATGCGTCCTGGAGCCGCCGCCTGAGGTGGGTGACCTCACCGGGGCGATTGGGCTCCGTGCGCCCCAGGCGGGCAGGAGTGGGGCTGTCGGCGAGCCTTTCCGAGCCCCGCACCTTTGGAGAGGGGCGCGCCCCGAGGGAGGACCGGCGGGCGGGGACGGGGAGCTAAGGCGCCGGCCCGGCCCGCTTCCTTGGGGGAAGGGAGGCCCGGCCGCTGCTTTGTTCCGGCCGCGGAGCCCAGCGCGGGCGCCACGCGCAGTCCGGCGCCTCCAAGTTTGGGAAAGTAAGTTGGAGCTGCGCGGGGCTGGGTCCTCGGGTGTCCTGCGCCCGCCCGGGAACGATCGGAGCCCTGCGGTGCGGTCCGGGCTGGGACGGGGCTCCCTCCTCCTTGCCTGTTGAGGCTTAGTCCTCGGTGTCGGGATGGGTGGTGTGGGTGGCGGGTCAGGGAGAAGGAGGTAGGGTCTTGGGTCTGTTTTATCAGAGAGAGAAAGTAAGGGAGAGAGAGACCGACACAAGCTTATACAGAGACTGAAAAAGAGAGAAGCAGAAAAACTCACAGAAACTGAAAAGAATGCACAAAGAAAGAATTAAGCGCAGAAAGCACACAAAGAAACACCTACACCAACAAAATAACAGAAAGACACTGAAAACTCAGAGAACGCTCGTACACACACTCCGAGAACGGCGCGTGCACACGCGGCACACAGATTGGAAACAAAGCCGGTGGGTGGTCTTGGATGCCCGGGGTCGGGGAAGGGGGAAGGAGAGCGAGAGGAAACTGAACGGGAGAGACTGAAGGGGAGGGGGAAGGAGGCCCAGGGAGAGGGAAATGGAGAGAGACCAGGAGAGAGAAGCAGAGACAGAGACAGAAGGAAATAAGAGAAGGGGGAAAGAAAAAGGAGGAAAGGGGAGGAAGGGCAAGAGGAGATAGGAATAGTGGACTAAAGGAGGTGGACCAGGAGGGACAGGGTACAGACAGAGAAACACACATCTAGAGAAACTGAGGCAGACCTGAAGAATTTCTAACCTAGACACACACACAGACACACAGAATCAGAGATAAAACAGCGATGAAAGAGGCAGACACCGGCCTTCTTGCCCTTGTGGGAGGTGTAGGAAGTGTACCCCAGGCTTTCTGAGACTTTTTGAGCCAGCCTTGTCCACTTGGAATACTCCTTGTCCTTCAAAACCCAGCTCAGGTATCACCTGCCTTGTGAAGAAGGCTTTCCCCCTAAGTGTCATAAAAACATCATTACTCTCTTTTCTGTGTACTTCTGTATGTAGCACGGGCCTCTATTGTTGCATAGATCACGTGGAGTTGAAGTGACCTATCTACCTCCCCCATCAGCTTCTTAAGGCTGGGACCTGTGTCTTATCTCCAATCTCTAGAAACCAGACCAGTGTTGGGCACATAGTAGATGATCAATAAATACTTATAGAATGATAACCAGGGGAGCATTTGGGCCCTCCAAGACATGGAGCAAAGAATTAAGTGCAGATAGAGGAGATCATGGGGCCACAGAGACACCTAGGTCAAACCACCCTTTTTGTAGGTAGAGAAATTAAAGCTCAGAGAGGGGAGGAGACTTGTTCAAAAGGACTCAAGTAGAAAGTCTACTCTGAAATAACATTGTGAATACCTACTCCTCTGATACACACTTGCTCCTCTGGTAAAAGAGTTTAAAATTGGTGCCAAAGAACCCTCCTGGGTGAAAACAGGCAACAGGCAGTGAACACTTTGACACCAGTTCTAAGTCTACAACACAAACTGACAAAATGCTTTCCAGAGTTTTTAGAATCATCTTTTCTCCTTAGGAAGAGAAAGGTGGATGTCCATCTAAGTTTAAATGGATGGCTTTAGGGTTGAAATCTAGTTCAACTGCTTCCTGACTACATAAACTCAAATTACTTAACCTCTCTGAACCTCAGTTTCCTTAACTGTCAAATGGGATACGATACTTGCCTCCTAGGATAGTTGCTAGGTTAGAAGAGTTAGCACATACAAAGCGCCGGGCAAGGAGTAGACCCTCAGTAAATGCAATCCCCGCTTGCCCTTTCTCAGGGGGTGTTCTTTCATGTTCATTGCTTTAGATGTGAAAGCTATAGTGTTAGTTATGTTTCCTTTTGTCTCAGATTTGAAATGCCATTGTGCTCCAATTGGGGAGCGAACTCTTTTAATAAAGGAAAAGGCAGATTTGGGGGCATGACTTGTAAAATGCACCTTGACTCTGTGCAGGCCCTCAGGTCTCTGCAGGTGACCTGAGGAAACTTAGCTTCCTCCCATCCCAAATGCTACTTCCACCAGGTAAAGCCAACATTCCTCTCTTCTGTGATTTCTTTACCAGGCCTGTTCTGCCCTGTGTTCTCTCAAGCTTGAGTCCACACGGGGGATGTGACCGGGGCTGACGGAGCCACCCAGAAGCATGGAGACGGTGGTGATCGTTGCCATAGGCGTGCTGGCCACCATCTTCCTGGCCTCGTTTGCAGCCTTGGTGGTGGTTTGCAGACAGCGCTATTGCCGGCCCCGAGACCTGCTGCAGCGCTATGACTCCAAGTGAGTGCTCCCGGCGAGGGGGAGGAGGAGAGATGGGATCTAACAAAAGAGAAAGAGAGCAGCAGAAGAAGTTTAGTGGTGGGCAGCTCCAGCTGAGCTTTGTGTTTAAAATGGCGCCTGGCGGCTGCCGTTGCTAACAAAGACCTCAGAGCTTAAGAACACTCCTTAAACCTCCCAGCATCCTGAGCCACCTCTGACTGTCACCTGAGCCAATGAGAAAGTAACTGAACATGTTTACCTGGGTAAAGGCACAGTTATCCATCCAAGACTGGCTAGCTCCCTTAGCAGTTGGACAAGCCAAATCTCTTTTCAGCCAAACCCACGGGCACAGAAATCAGATGCCTGAATTCCAGCCACACATCCAGGCAACAATCGGTCCAGTGAAATCCCAGCATAGGACTGTATCTCTCTGTGCATGGCAGATTTCTTCATGATGCATTTTATGTGAAGTGTATTTTATAAACAAGACCCTGTTTTCAGTTTAGGGACATTTTAATTGACAGATCCTTGAGAGACATGGAACTATTAATTTCTCTTACCCCTCTATCTTCTTGATCCTACTAGCATCTCTGCTAAGTGGTTAATAATTTGTAAATGCCCACTTCTCTGAGGAGCCCTGGTGGGGCAGTGGCTAAGTGCTCTGCTACTAACCGAAAGGTCAACAGTTTGAACCTACCAGCCGTTCCACAGGAGAAAGATGTGGCAGTCTGCTTCTGTAAAGATTACAGCCTTGGAAACCCTATGGGGCAGTTCTACTCAGTCCTATAGGGTTGCTATGAGTTGGAATGGACTTGATAGCAATGGTTTTATGGGTATGACCCAAGGAAGCTCTGCTTTTGAAAAGAATGCTATAGAGTCATATTTTTAAAGAACCCTGTCCTGGTGGCGCAGTGGTTAAGAGCTATTGTGCTAACCAAAAGGTTGGCAGTTCAAATCCATCAGCTGCTCCTTGGAAAACCCATGATGCAGTTCTACTCTATCCTATAGGGTTGCTATGAGTTAAAATCGACTCGATGGCAACGGGTTTGGTTTGGTTTGGTTTGGTTTGGTCATAAAAGTAGAAATTGTTTTTATTTCTTCCATTTTGCTAGCGAAACTAGGAGTGGGGAGGGGCGTTGGGGTGGATTAGGGTGGTTCTTATGACTGATTCTGCAGACCAGGTAGAGGATATAAGTAGGTTTAGGTAATATGAACTTCAACCACTCTTTAAAAGGTAGGATTGAAGGTCAAATAAGTTACAGAAGGATATTATTTTGCCCTGAAGGAGAAGCCCTGTCTAATATAGCTTTGTAATTATTATGGTTGTAGTTCTACTCTTTCTCTCAGGGTTTATAACCTTCTGTGTCACTTTTTTTTGGAGAGGGGGGTTCCGCTGGGCTGCCTACTTGACTCACTGTCTAGTCATAGCCCTGCCTACAACTTTAGTCCTCACTAGGGTTGGGTTTGGATTCAGGACAAGTGGCTCCTACTCTGATTTATCTATTCCTTTCATCCTTTCGGAGGGTATGTGGGCCTCAGTGAGGAGGGAGGTCAGCAGCAGTCACCCATCATGAAATCACTTAACTGAGACCTTTCTTTCTAGGCCCATTGTGGACCTCATTGGTGCCATGGAGACCCAGTCTGAGCCCTCTGAGTTAGAACTGGATGATGTCGTCATCACCAACCCCCACATTGAGGCCATTCTGGAGAACGAAGACTGGATTGAAGATGCCTCGTATGGCCATGGGGACTACTTGCTTTCCTGTAGATCATCTTTTAGCCCACTGGGGATAGCAGATGGGGGCTTCTCGGTGCTCTTCTGTGGCTTCCTTTGCTGAGCACTCAGCTGGCACCCAGAAGCCCTGTGTCACTCGCTGCTCTTACCCTTACCTTCAACATGGGGGTATCAAAATGTGGCATGATAGTGTTTGTCCCTGTCTTCATTTTGTAGACTTGAACGCTGAGGCCCATACATGTGTGACAAATGTTGTTACAAAGTCACCCTGATGTGCTTAGATTATCCTTGGGGTGTCAGTGAATTTCATACTGAGGCTCCAGGAATGAACCCTTTGTCTTCAGTATTCCCACAGGGATCTTTGCACCCAACAGGAACCCTTAACAATTTGAGCATTGTATGCCATTTCATTTCCTTATTCATTTAGTCATTCATTCACTGGGCAAATATTTGTGGGCCATTAATGCAGGGCGCTGGGCCAGGCAGTGTGGTATGAAAATAGTGGAGGAGACAGAATTATATCTAAAAATCTAAATACAGTATCCTAGAAACTGTAGGTGATCTCTGTATACAGTACAGTAGGCATATGGAAGAGGCAATGTCTAGATTTGCCTAAGGTGGGAAAGTGGAGGTGGATATTCATAGTGTAAGTGCTTTAGGACTTGGGTCTTGAAAGATGAGAAGTAGTTTACCAGGCTGACCATAAGGGGAAGGATACACCAGGCAGAGGGAACAAGTCTGTCAGAAGCTCAGTTATAAAAAGCATGGCTGGAAGAGTAGGTTGGGTGCGGTGAGGGGCAGGGAGGGGAAGAAGGTACTTTCTCATTTAGCTCATGGACTTGCTCGTTTTAGCACAAGGCATTACTGTGCTGAGGTGGTACTGGTCACAGCTGGATGAGGAGCAGAGGTGGTGGCTGGAGGGAGGTGGGCTTTTCGGGTAACCATTGACAAACTCTTCTTGTCTCCTCAGGGGTCTCATGTCCCACTGCATTGCCATCTTGAAGGTAATTCTCTCTGATTTCCTGATGAGAAAAAGGGAGTTACTGAAGACTCCATGCATAGACTCTTAGAGTTGAAAGGGACCTTAGGCAGGGTACCAAACCTGACCTGTTAGTCCTCACAAGGGGCCTTTCTTAACATGCCTGATGCTTGGAGTTTCTACTGTCTGCTTCCACTTCTACCTGTTATCCCTTTATGATTCTCAAGGCCCTTGCAAAGGCTTTATTTCATCTGGTCCTAACAGCCTAGATAGTCACTAGCCCATTTTCACCAACCACAGAGAAAGCTGTGCGTGCCCAAGGCCATTTAGCTACCAGAGGGAAAATGGGGTTTTCCCAGCTTCTCCCTAAGCTTTTGATTTCATTAACAGAGAGCTCAAGCCTTTGCAGCAAGTTCTGTATTTAGACCTCCTCAATTATTAGAAGTCCTTCACTGATACTTTTTGGCTGTGACAGTAGACAGTCAAAGGCAACAATCCATGTTAAAAAATCCAAACCGGGATGACTTTAACTTGACGGCAGATTTTTTTTTTTTCTACCAATACTTGAAGTCTTTGGAAAATTGCATTCAATTTGCATTTTGGGTACTTTTTATAGTTTTGGCATTTGTTTTTCAATTCTTGCCTAGTACTACCCTACCTAGTGGGACAATGATAATACTGAAATATTTGGCCAATTGCAAATAATGTCGGCTTTTTCACTTAAAGTAACCTGGGAAGCCACACATATATATCTTTGTCTAGTAATTACTCAAGATTTCAAAAAAGACAACTTTATCTTTTCTTTAATATCCTTCATCCCACCTCCTCCTTGGCTGCCTCTTTTTAGGGACAAAGAAACACTTCGAAGGAAACTCCTGTCCCCGAGTCCAGGCTTATTATTTAGTTCTTTGGATATATAGATATATATAGATATGGTTATAGATATAGATAAAGAGCCCTGGTAGTGCAGTGGTTAAGTGCTCGACTACTAACTGAAAGGTTGATGGTTCGAACACACCAGCCATTCCATGGGAGAAAGATGTGGCGGTCTGCTTCCATAAAGATTACAGCCTTGGAAATCCTATGGGGCAGTTCTACCCTGCCCTATAGGGTCACTATAAGTTGGAATCTACTCGACAGCAATGGTTTTCTGTTGTTGTTGTTTATAGATATAGATAGGTATAACAACTACTGCAATAATGCCATATTACATCTCCATTCTCCCACCCAGGATGTGTCCTGGAACTAGATTTTGCCCCCTGCCCCTTTCTATCATGTTGTTAGTTGCCATCAAGTGGATTGCTACTCATGGCAAACACCTGTGCAAAGTAAAACTTCTCCATAGGGTTTTGAAGACTCTGACCATTTGGAGCACGTTGCTAGGCCTATCTTCCATGGTGCCTCTGGGTAGGTTTGTACTGCCAACCTTTTGGCTAGTAGTCAAGTACTTAACCATTTGTGCCACCCAGGGACTCCCTGCCTATCATAGGCGGAAGATAAATGGCACCTATTCAAATGGCTGGAAGGAGTCTTGTTGGATTGGAATTAATGGTCCATCCTGGGAACCTCAGATCAAAGGAGAGCGTTTAATCTGCTCTTGGGATCTCAAGGCTCTTATGCTTGGCCACTTGCCCTTGAGTCCGTGTGGTGGAGGCTTGAGGGAGGGGATGGGCTTGCTCCTGGGTGGGTTCTTGGGCTCTTTCTGCCCTCTCTTTTCCAGGTAGGTATAAGGCAGGGTAATGAGACTTCTTTGCTAGAGACAGAAGCATATTTAGGTTCTAACGGGGAGGGGCAGGAGAGGGGAACAAGTTTTAGGGGAAGCCAGAACTGTTGGTTGATGATGAGAAAGGCCATGTGTCATAATCTTGCCTTTTTCCAGCTTTTTCTAAGTTCTTTTCTTCATTATCTTGACAAGCAGCATGTTAATGTATTAGCATAGAAAATTGTTGAAATAAGTGCCACTTTTGGAGAATGTGCTTAGAGGGAACAATTGCCCTTTGTCCAGCTGCGTTTCTGAGGGCGCCACGCTGGAGATATTTATTCTTTCAGAGGGTTAGACCGTGAGGTGAAGGAAGAGAAAGAGAAAGTAGGTTTTATCCCCCTGAGCAAGAAGGTGAAATTAGAGCACATGCTCTTTCTTAGACAGATTATTTCAGCTTCAACTTCTCCGAGCCAAAACCCTGACCCTGGGTTGAGGTCACTACCCCTCCCTCTTCACCCATGCTCTTGGCTTTTGTTTCTTCCCACCCCGTTCCTCTAATCTCTGTGTACTTTTCGCTTCATTTCTGCCATTAGGTTAGGAGGCAAGTTGTGTGATGGGACCCACAGTGGGGGCCTTATCTGACCTTATGAGGGTGGCAGAAGCCCTTGGGGAGCTGGGTCACCCCTCATCACCTCTCTCCTCTCTGCTGCATTAGATTTGTCACACTCTGACAGAAAAGCTTGTTGCCATGACAATGGGCTCAGGAGCCAAGATGAAGACTTCAGCCAGTGTCAGCGACATCATCGTGGTGGCCAAGCGGATCAGCCCCAGGTGAGTGGTCTGGGGCCTTGAGGACCCCACACTCTGCTGGGGAAGAGAGGAGGGTGGAAGCAGAGGTGGCCAGCAGGGCCAGCCTCTTTTAACAAACAGTACACAGGCAACTTCAGTTACTTATGTCACAGACGTTCACAGAGCATCTAGTTACTGAGAGACTTTCAACCTAAGATGGTCTCTCTCTCATGCACACACATAGCCACCTCCAGCGTGCCCCCTTCTGTTAGGGTTTTAGGAGGTTCCAGCATGGTGACTAGTCCTGACTCATCTGTTCTGCAGTTTCCACTGTGACTGCTTCCTTGTTCAGCCCCATACAAGCTGGGGCTGCTTTCCTGCCTGTTCCACTCCTTCCTCCCAGGCTCTGCGCTGTAGCCAGCAAGCACATTTACACTGGTGCCAGCACCCCTATCTCTCAGTGATCTCCTGGCCATGCCCTTGTCCCTGACCCATATCTGTATTGGAGACTAGTATGAGGATCTGCTCCTTCCTATTGCCCTGTCACCCACTGACCCATCCATGACGCAGCCTCCAGCACTGGGTGGGAAGTGAAGCCATACAGCATTCAAACCTGTTGTTATTGTGTCAGTTCCGACTATAGCGACCCTATAGCACAGACTGGAACTTCCTCATAGGTTTCCAAGGCTGTAATCTTTATGGGAGCAAACTGGTGCATTCGAACTGCCGACCGTTTGGTTAGCAGCTGAGCGCTTAACCACTGCGTCACTAGGGCTGCATACAGCATTCAGACTTCCCAAATTCCAGGCAGTCTGCCAAAATCCTATGAGGGAGGCAACCTGCAGGATTGCAGTCAACAGCTACACCCCCTCATTTGGGCTCGATGTTGTGAAGAAAAATGAAGCCCTTCTCTGAGAAGGGCTGTGCTAAGATTGTGCTGCCACCTGGTGGCTGGTGTGTGGATTGCCTGAGCCTGGAGATGTCCAGTCTGGGATGTTTTCTTCGTCAGCCACCTGGCCTCTCCACTGGGTGTGGTACCTCCGTATTCCTGATGGAATGGTGGCACCTGTATGAGTTCCAGGGGCTCTCGCTTTCCTTGTTGCTTTGCCCTCAGGTAAATCATGAGGAACCAGTCCTTTCTCTGCCCCAAGACTAACCAAATAAAAACAACCAGCTTTCTGTGAGTCCTCTGAGGGAATAGGAAAAGACTTGGTGCACTTGAACTCTGTCCAGGAGGAGTTCAGTGAGTTGAGAAAGTGGGAGGGAGATAATCCAGGGGAGGGACTCAGCCTAGAAAGATTCTTGGCCTTCTCTGGAGTTGGCCCAGGTGGGTGTGGCTACATGACTACCATCAGCCTAGTTCTACCCCTGGCCTTACCCCTACTCCCCCCAGCCTAAGCTCTGGGCAAGCACCAGCCATTCCTCTGGCCACTCATTATTTTTAGAGATTATGCATTCACATATCTGCTGACCCTTCATCATGCTTTTTTGTCTCTTCTAAGAGCCACCCAAGGGAGCCAGACAAATTCCTATGATACCAGGTTATGAGGCAGCACTTTCAGGAGGGATCAGGGAGGAAGGAGATGGAGATTTCTGAGGAGAAGTGAAATTCTAGCTGAGCAGGATTAGCAGTGGGGCTAGGATGAGCTTGTGACATTGCTCAGAGGGTGGACCTGACCTGCTACACACTGGCCCATCCTACAAAGACCTTGAACTAATTCCAGAATGTTCCCTGCCATAATTCAGTCAGGGGTCCTTGCTTTATCTCTTTGCTCTCACACTTCTTTCTCCATCTGGCCCTTTTTTACCTCCATTGTTTTTCCTGCTCCCTTTATGAGTGTGTTGATGGCATATTAGTTTCAAGGAGAGTGGCTTCAGCCTAAGGGTACTACAGAGAAAGGGAGCAGCTAAAACAGGCATTGACAGTAACCATGCCTCTGCACTTCCTCCTCATCAGCTCCTCAGCCCAGAGACAGGAATATTTGAGGGCATCTTTTGTCAAGTATTTTTAGAAATCAAATAATACATCTTTATTTTTCGTTGCTGACCATCAAGTGGTTCAGAAGCAGGGATTTGGAGCAAAACCTTGAACTGCAAATCAGAATGAATAGTAGTTCATTTCTTAAAAGGACTAAAAAATTTAACCTTGAACTGTACCAGGTGTTAAAAGAACTCCAGTGCATCAGTTTGAACCAAAATTAAACTTGGAGCATTTTTATTTAGTGTTCTATTTAACTACCTTCAAACTTTTTTTTCCTCCTGAGCATAAAAGTAATCAATGCTTGTAAAAATTAAAAATACTGCAGAAATAGCTTGTCTGGAAAGTGAAGTACTCCTTAGTTCCACCACTGTGCAACTCCAGGAGCTAATCATGGTTGAACTGATGAGTATTCTTCCAGATCTTTCCATTTAATTTCATACTTTTTGTTTGCTTATTTACTTTTATACAAATGGGATTGATCAAGCATTCTATACTATTTGGCAATTTGCCGTTTTCATTTAGTAGTATATCTTGAACATCTTTCCATCTGTATGAACTTATACTTTTTAAAACCTTGGAACAAAAACAAAACCAGAAAAAAAAAATTCTCTAAACTGAACGTGAAGTCTTTCTGCAGTCTTTGTCTGAGAAGGCAGAAGCAGACAGAGAAAGAACCACTAAACTGGGTCTTGAATATCAAAGGGGAAGAGATGGAATAAAGAAAGGTAGGAAGAAAGGAAGGAGAAAGTGAAGTGTCTTAGTTTCTTAGTGCTGTGACAGAGATATCACAAGTGGGTGGCTTTAGTGAACAGAAATGTATTTTCTCATCATTTAAAAGTCTGAATTCGGGACACTGGCTCTAGGGGAAGGCTCTCTCTGTCCACTCTGGGGGAAACTCTTTGTCTCTTTCAGCTTCTGTTCCTTGGCAATCTCTGTCTAGCATCTATCATTTCCCCATTTGTGCTTGCTTGCTTCTGTGCCTCATCTGCTGTTTTTGTATCTCAAAAGTGGTTAGGTTTAAGACACACCCTACACCCATATGGTCTCATTAACATGGCAAAGAAAACTTTTCACAAATGGGATTACATCCACAGGTATAGGGGTTAAGATTCCAACACATTTTTGGGGGGACGCAATTCAATCCATAACAGGAGTGAAACATTGAAAACCTTTTGCTTCCCCTCAGAGTGGATGATGTTGTGAAATCAATGTACCCCCCGCTGGACCCGAAACTCCTGGATGCACGGTGAGAAGGGTTGTTCATTTTTCATGCTGGAGGGTCAACATTTTATGGAATCCATGAGGTTGGTTGATTGGGCTTTTTAGGAGAGGGCTGTTTCGCTGGGTTCCTGAGGTTGCCCCGGCTATGCCCAAATGCTAGGGAACGCAATCAGGTTGTCTTTTTGTCTACCAGGGTTTGGGTACCTTTCACTTCAGTGTGGTGGAAGCCCTGTCATTCTGGCCAACCAGTGAGCTGAGCCTGGCTGGATGATAAAGACAGTCCTCTTCCTGAAACCTTAAGAAGGAAGAGCCGGTCTTTGATTTTGAATTCTTATAAGTAAACATTGGACCATGCTAAGTCCTAGCTGTGCCATCTCTTCCTCTGTGCCCCCTATTGCTCCCTCTCTGTTCTGTGGACCCCAGAAGCAGACCCACCTCAGCTTTGAGTGCCACCCAGGGGAGCGGGGGCAGGGGGCATGCAGAGCACTGAGATGGAAGGGACGAGTTGGCCAAAGCTGTGCCCACCTTGTACAGGACACCTCCAGCCATCCTTCTTCATGACCCTCTCTTAATATGCAAAGCAGAGTTATCTTTATGTTATGTGCCTGTATAGGATTTACATTTTGCAAAACCAGATTCTTTTGTTTCTCTGATTTATGTTGCGATTTTATGGACATGTTGTGTGATGATTGCCAGATGGGCAGGGGTCATGGTATTTCAACTTTGGTGTCTCTGCCGCACTGCAGCTGCTGCCCAGCTTTGTCTAGGGGCTAATTATCTGTAATCTATTCCCAATTGCATCATGTACACTCACTATGTAAAAGGTGCTCTACAGTGAATGTTTCAATACCAAAAAGAACTCTTCCTCAGTTTGGTTTTCAAATTAATTTTTTGTTTTAGAGTGGGGTAAACCAGCCCTGGGCCTTATTGATTCGTAGTCAATAAGAGATAATTGATTCACAGTCAATACGAGATGTGCAAGGTGAGAATACATGTATCCTACCTTTAAGTAGGCTTTCATTGGGAATGTGCTCATCCAATGGACTAGATCCAAACTGTGTTCCATGGAACACTATTCTGGGAGATGTTTATAGGTGTGCTGCATTAAATGGTTTTCATAGTCTTAAATAAGTTTATGAAACACAGCATATTCTCCCCTTGGAGCTTTGTTGTACACATCAAAGGCGCTTGAGAAGTGCTGTTGTAAAGAGACCTGTTTAACTTTGTTTAACCCAGCCATTCCCAAATTATTTGAGCGTGGAACCATCTTTAAATTACATATGCACCAGTCTCCTGGGAAAGGGACTCCAGCTTGGAGAACCCTAGTCTAGAGTCGCTCCATTTGGACTTTGGTGTGAAGTCCCTCACTTCTGAGGGAACGTGACCCTGTTGTTTTTTCTAGGACGACTGCATTGCTCCTGTCTGTCAGTCATCTGGTGCTGGTGACGAGGAATGCCTGCCACCTGACCGGGGGCCTGGATTGGATTGATCAGTCACTGTCAGCCGCTGAGGAGCACTTGGAAGTCCTCCGAGAAGCAGCCCTGGCCTCTGAGCCGGATAAAGGCCTTCCAGGCCCCGAAGGCTTCCTGCAGGAGCAATCAGCCATTTAGTGCCTGCTGGCCAGCAGCTAACCACGAGGGCCAGCCTGCTGCCATCCCTGGGTGGCTCAGCTGAGCCTCTCAGTCTTCCCTGTAGAGTTAGTTGTTCTTCACCGCTCTGGAGTACAGCTGTGTATGCATGAGAAAGTAGGGTAGCCCCAACAGTTGATGCCTCTGTTGCAATTGCAAAAGGTGGCTGATGAGTGGCAGTCTAATACCACAGTTAGGGGAGATGACATTCACCATCAGTACAGTAGAGCAGTGAAAACTGGCGGACTGTAAGCTTTATTTAACTCACCTAGTGTTTTCAAGAGAATTGAGCCAGCATCTAAGAATCAGGAGGTTTCACCCTGAAATCAGAATTTCTGGCTTCTCTTGAACAATCAGAAGGTGTGCCAACTCTCATCTGAATTCCCAAAAGGGACAATCAGTTGGAACTAAATAAAAGTTGCCTCTTTTGACAAGGCTTATACTCTCTCACCTGGCCTGTTTCGTTTATTTGTATTATCTGCCATGTCCTTGAGGCAACTGAGTCCCTCCTCCCCTTTCCAGCTTTGAGGTTGAGGTGTGCACTGCAGAGTTGATTATTTCCTTTTAATCACTATGCCTGCAATTTGACCTGACTACCACTAGGTGGATAATAAAGCTATACCTAGGTTTTCCTCAAGTGTGTGGTTATTGAATTAAATCAAATGCATGGTGTATGGTGGGATATTTTTGTCTGAGAACTGTGGATGGAAGGAGAAAGCCTAAGGACCCTGAGGATGGTTTGTATTTAGAGACCGTCAGAATTCAGGCTGAAGTGAAGATACTACAATAAAGTACTTTCCATATTAGCAATGACATCCATGAAGGATCTGTTCCCCTTTCTTCTCATATCTGTTTTGCAAATATTGAAAGGTGATGGGGCCCTTTTATGAGTTGAGACCTTTGGGGAACCCAGAATTACAGTTGCAGGATCCTGAGCACTTGTTTTGAAGCGTATGGGGAAAGTCGGAAGCACTTTGCTTCGCAGGTTCTCACAGACAACCTCCTTGGAGAGGCCCTGGCTTGGGGACTGCCCTGGTTCATATCATATGCTGCTAAATATATTTGAAGCTGCATATCTCTTTCCATTTTGTTTCTCTGCCCTAACTCAAGTCAGCAAATTCCTCAGCCTGATTCTAGGAAACCAGGGATTATATTCCCAAATCCAAGACTGGGGCCTTGCTTGTCTGTCCTTTGGGCACATTGCACTCTCTCCTGGTAAACAGAGTGATTCTAACCAGCGTAATGTACAACAAATCCCACATGGGGAGAGGGAAACTGGAGCTCAACTCACATGGACCGAAGGATGGATTCCTGATTGCGGGAGACCCTTTAGGGACTCGTCCGTTCCCATCAACCCTGAACATGCGTTATTTAAGTAGTTAACTTTTCTGTTCTTCCGGCGAGCCTTGAAGTGCCCATGAGGTTGCTGACTTTTCTCTTCGTGCTTTCCTTACCTACTTTAGACATCCACTGCCTTCCTGTTTTTGTCTTTTTTTTTTTTCTCCCTTTCAAAATCTGCTTTCACAACTGGCCTGGAAACTAATTCACGCTAAGGTTGCAATGACTGCCATGGCTGCAAATGTTCCCTGCATTTTCACCTGGACCAGAACCCTAAGCTAAAGGGGAGCAGCTCTGAGTTGGCCTCGCAGACACCATCCACCAGGTGTGGGAGTTGGGGCTAAAGTGTTTTGTCAGCACACCTGAAATGCATACCCTCCTTTGCCTTTTCCGAGCCTGAGTAAATACCGTCACACCTGCTTCCTGAAACCCAAAGATGCTGCCCTTTGGATTGTGAGGAGGGATTCCTGAAGATCTTGGGGGTGCCTGCTAGACTAGAATTCTAATGAGTCACTGCACTGTGGTGCCTTTTCTTTCCCTCTCCAGTGCTGGAGCCTCTGAGTAAAGTTGGTGTTGGTGGCTGGTGGCTGAGAGCAGAGCACTCTTTGGGGGAGGACACAATCTGACTCCTCCAGACAATATGGGAGTTCATGGGAGTTCTTACCTCCCTTGGGAGGGGCTGGGTGACCGGCACTGGGGATCCCAGCATTGTCTCTTGTGCCAGGTGCGGATTCCTAGAGGGTGGACACACCTAAGTCCCTAGTTACTAGCATCTACCTATTTGATGGTAGATCCTTCCTTCCATGTCTCCTACCCCCTTCTGCCCCAGGGGTAGGAGCATCATCAGACTCAAATTTTGAATGAAGAAGGAATTACTCAGGGATAAGAATTAAGGGTGAAAAGAGCAAGGTCCTTGAAATCATATAGAATCAAATCCAGGTTTGGGATCCGTCATTCACTGTGTGAGCTTGGACAAGTTACTTGACCTCTCTGATCCTTAGCTTTCTCATGTGTAAAATTGAAACTACTGCCTCACTGGATTGGTATGTCAGTCAAATTAAAGCATATGTGAAATGCCCAATTGCGTACCCGGGCATGATTAACCGGACTGGAGCCCTGGTGGTGCAATGGTTAAGAGCTTGGCTGCTAACCAAAAGGTCGGCAGTTCAAATCCACCAGCCACTGCTTGGAAGCCCTATGGGGCAGTTCTACTCTGTCCTATAGGGTCGCTATGAACATGAACGTGGAAATGAGGGCTAGGGCATGGGTGAGGTATTTTCTCTCCATCCAGAATGACATAATTTTATCCATTTTAAGTAATTGACTTGACCGCAATAAGGGTTTTTTTTTTTTTTTTTTTTAACTTTCCTTCTCTTCCCACAGCCCCAAGCCCCGATACAGCTGGCCTAGCTGGCATCATCTCAGTTACATGGCTCTGTCCAAGCAGGGGCTTCCCTTCATGGGCGCTGGAACCGAGTGGCCAAAACTTGGGAATCACTTCAGTAGGGGAGTGGCCTAGCCTTGTCCCTGACCCATCCCAAGTGTGTTCACAACAGGAAGACATCTGAAGCTCTTGGCCTCTTATCAGCGTTCAAAGGGTTGATTGCTCAATTTCACATTCCACCAGAGAAGGGCCCAGGGAACCTCCTCCAGCTTGTAAAATCTTCCAGATGGAACTCGTGTTCCTGGTGTCCAGCTTACCCTGGAGCTTACCCTGACCTGCCTCATTCCAGGAGTTCCTTCTCTTCAGAGGCTCTTCCAACTCTGGGTGCTCACATGAGCCTGGTTTCTAGAAAATGGCTTACAGTTCAAAGTCACTGAGTTGCTTTATGGCCTTGTAAATCTTGGGAAGGTATCAAATGAATTTTCATCCCTTTCCTTCTCCCATCCTTGCTCTCTCCATCCCTCCCTCCCTCTCACAAAGTAGTGCTTACTCTGTGGGAGGTACTGTGCTAGGTGCTGGGGTTATGAAATGAAAGGACTGGTGGTATATATATATATATATACCTCTGGGGTTCATTGGGAAGCTACTGTCCCACTGACAGTACATGCTGCCGGCGGGCAGGACCCTATGTAACAGTTTGAAATGGAAAAAACAGGCATGCACCACAAATTACTGTTTTTACAGGGTATTATATGAGGTGGTGCTGAATCACTGATTTTTTGGTAGGAAAAAGCATGAATTTTAAAAATTTTTATTTGGTACACAAATGTGCCTCCAGACTCAGGGTAGAATTTGTATTCACAAGGGATACACATATGTATCTCTGGACTCTGAGGGTATGATTTGTGGAATGAGGCATAAAACAAAACCATATTACTTACCAAAAATTCAGATGCACTGAATGATTCAGCATGCCCTCTGTTACTGAAAACACATAGTATCAACAAAAAATTAAAAGGAAAAAATAATTAGGTCATGAAAAGATTAAGGAACAAGAGAGACAAATGAATGGCTCATTGAACCACCACTGAGGCCAGTGAGGGTGATGGAGGGACAAACGCGGGAGGTGTGGGGGCACAGAGCAGGGAGCAGGGTGAGAGTAGGGTAGGGTGGGGGCCAGATAGTAAGACACAAAACCTGGCAGGAGTTGATGCCTGAGTTGGGCCTTGAAGAAGAGGGTCAGAGAGGTGATCTGGGCAGAAAGGACAACATGGGGAAGACCCACGGCCAAGAGAGCAGGGCTCATTTGGGAAATGCAGGAGATTGGGGACGTCTGGAGTATGGGATGTAAGGGGGTGGGGTTGGACAGGCTGGCAGGGTATCAGATCTTGGAGGATCTTATAGGTCATATTAGGGAGCTGGAGCCTTATCCTGAGCATGACGGGAAACCATGGAAGGTTTTCAGCAGGAGAGTGACTTGGTCAGATCTGCAAATACCATATGACTTTAGCATAATTTTCTCTGATGCTACTGAGTGTATGTTTTCCTCTTGAGTCTGAGAGGATCCAGACTGAATCATGTTATGAAAGTGGGATGGGCAACTGGTTAGGGAGGAAGGGAGGGGGTGGGTATCACAACAGGGAGTGCTAGAGGGAAGCAATGCGGTTGTGCTGGTCCGCTGCTGGTAGGTGCTTACTGTGCCTCTCTGTACCAGAAACGCCAATGAGTAGAGTTTTGAGAATTTGAAGCATAACTGGGTCCTTCTTGTTATATCCTGTCTGTATTTTTATCATTCACATTTTACAGATAATGAAACAGAAGCCTAGGGTGATCAGTTGCTTTCCTGGAGCCTCATGATAATAAGGATCAAAGCAAGAATTTCAACTCCCCAACTTGTACTCTTAACCGCTACTCCATCCTGTCTTGGATGTGGGTGGCAGAATCCATAATGGAAATGAAAAAACGGATAGGAGAGTCATTCCATTCTCTTCTAATTAGCATATTTTCATTTAAAAAAATGGTGGCCATGACCCATAAATTAATTTCACGGCCCACTAATCGGTTACAACCCACAGGATGGTAGAACATGAACGTGGAAATGAGGGCTAGGGTATGGGTGAGGTATTTTCTCTCCATCCAGAATGACTTAATTTTATCCATTTTAAGTAAAACTTGCATTTACAAGAATAGTTGCAAAAATTCATGGGGCAAAATGGAATAATTTATTACATGACTGATTAATTCAGAGAGTCATCTGTTGAGTATCTACCCCATGCCAGACACTGGATTAGGCCCTGAGATACAGGAATGAATAAAAATAATGCTTCTCTTGAGGCACATGTAATCTAAGGTGGAAAGAAACCCATAAAGAGTCATTTTCAACGTAAAGTGATAAGTTTTAAAGAGGGGAACGTGTGTGTAATGAGAGCACAGAGCAGGGGTGCCAAACCCAGCTCACTAGAGTTTCCTGAAGGTGGTTACATCTCAGAAGAATTGTTGAATGGGGGTCGCTATGAGTCGGAATTGACTCGATGGCAATGGGTTTGGGTTTTTGGTGGGAGTTGGCCAGGAGAAGAACGGGTAGGTAGGGGGAGATGGAAATAGAGGAGGACAGAAGAGCCAGGAAGGACTTTCTGTGCAAATGTGACTTTCCATGTCGAGCTCAGGAAATTGCAGATGGTTCCAGCAGTAGTAGTTGAGTGGTTGAATTCTCATCTCCCATGTGGAGACCAGGGTTTGAGTCCCGGCCAGTGCACCTCATGTGTAGCCACCATCCATCTTTTCACGGAGGCTTGTGTGTTGCTATGATGCTGAACAGGTTTCAGAGGAGCTTCCAGACTAAGATGGACTAGGAAGAAAGGCCTGGCGATCTACTTCCAAAAATCAGCCAATGAATCACAATGATCTGATCCACA